CCCTGATCCTTTGACATCTTGACTCCTGATCCTTTGACATCTTGACCCCTGACCCTTTGACATCTTGACCCCTGACTCTTTGACATCTTGACCCCTGATCCTTTGACATCTTGACCCCTGACCCTTTGACATCTTGACCCCTGACTCTTTGACATCTTGACCCCTGATCCTTTGACATCTTGACCCCTGACCCTTTGACATCTTGACCCCTGATCCTTTGACATCTTGACCCCTGACCCTTTGACATCTTGACCCGTGACCCTTTGACATCTTGACCCCTGAACCTTTGACATCTTGACCCCTGATCCTTTGACATCTTGACCCCTGACCCTTTGACATCTTCACCCCTGACCCTTTGACATCTTGACCCCTACTCCTTTGACATGTTGAACCTTGACCCTTTGACATCTTGACCCCTGATCCTTTGACATCTTGAATCCTGACCCTTTGACATCTTGACCCCTGATCCTTTGACATCTTGACCCCTGATCCTTTGATCTTTGACTCCTTGACCCCTGACCCTTTGACATCTTGAATCCTGACCCTTTGACATCTTGACCCCTGATCCTTTGACATCTTGACCCCTGATCCTTTGACATCTTGACTCGTGATCCTTTGACTTCTTGACCCCTGACCCTTTGACATCTTGACACCTGATCCTTTSATCTTTGACTCCTTGACCCCTGACCCTTTGACATCTTGACCCCTGACCCTTTGACATCTTGACCCGTGACCCTTTGACATCTTGACCCCTGACCCTTTGACATCTTGACCCCTGACCCTTTGACATCATGAACCCTGATCCTTTGACATCTTGAACCCTGATCCTTTGACATCTTGACCCCTGACCCTTTGACATCTTGACCCGTGACCCTTTGACATCTTGACCCCTGACCCTTTGACATCTTGACCCCTGACCCTTTGACATCTTGACCCCTGACCCTTTGACATCTTGACCCCTGACCCTTTGACTTCTTGACCCTGATCCTTTGACATCTTGAACCCTGATCCTTTGACATCTTGACCCCTGATCCTTTGACTCCTTGACCCCTGATCATTTGACATCTTGACCCCTGACCCTTTGATCTTTTACTCCTTGACCCCTGACCTTGAGCACTTATCTTCTGTTATTTTTCTTCAGAATAAAATCAGTTTTATGTTTCTAAAGTGCCAACCCTGTCCAGTGTCTCACCTTTCATCCACTGTCTCACCTGTCCTCTACTGTCTCACCTGTCCTCTGCTGTCTCACCTGTCCTCTACTGTCTCATCTGTTCTCTGCTGTCTCACCTGTCCTCTACTGTCTCACCTGTCCTCTGCTGTCTCACCTGTCCTCTACTGTCTCATCTGTTCTCTGCTGTCTCACCTGTTCTCTACTGTCTCACCTGTTCTCTGCTGTCTCACCTGTCCTCTGCTGTCTCACCTGTCCTCTGCTGTCTCACCTGTTCTCTGCTGTCTCACCTGTTCTCTACTGTCTCACCTGTTCTCTGCTGTCTCACCTGTCCTCTACTGTCTCACCTGTCCTTCAAAGACTCACCTTCAGTGTTCCAACCAATGACTGATCCTGTTTAATTGATCCAGTTTGACTGGTGAGTGTTTTGTTGATAAACTTCTGTTTATTTGTTTGTTTACACATGTTTGTGCAATTTGTTTTTTACGTCCATGACAGTATTTTTGTCAGTATTAATTTTGATAATTTCCACATTTGTTAAAGGGTTTTCCTGTAATTTATGGGAGCTGTTTATAGTTGTTTTTATTTATTTCTGTAGAGTTCAGATTTATTAGAGTTCCTAAGTGATTTTAGAGAAGCTGTTTATAGTTGTTTTTATTTATTTCTGTAGAGTTCAGATTTATTAGAGTTCCTAAGTGATTTTAGAGAAACATTTTATGTCTTATTTTTACTTTACAGACTACTGAAAAGTTTCAATTCAAGGAACTTTTATAATGATAACTCTTGTAAAACACTGTGTTGTTTAAAGTCAAACTTTACGAGTCCAGATGGAGAGGGATGAGGATCAGATGATGATGATGATGATGAAGTTTTGTAATATGTTTCTGACCCGATGATGATGATGATGACATATTGTAACAGTGTTTTTGACTTGATGATGATGATGATGATGATGATGATGATGATGATGATGATGATGATGATGATGA